GATAGTTTTACTTTTTTTTTTTTTGAGACAGAGTTTCACTGTTGCCCTAGGCTAGAGTGCCCTGGCAGCATAGCTCACAGTAACCTCAGACTCCTATGCTCAAGGATCCCGTGCCTCAGCCTCCCGAGTAGCTGGGACTTTAGGAGTGCACCACCTTGCCAGGCTACTTTTTTTGTTTTTAGTAGAGACAGGATCTCACTGTTCCTCAGGCTGGTCTCAAACTCCTGAGCTCAAGCAGTCTACCTGCCTTGGCCTCCCAGAGTGCTAGGATTATAGGCAAGAGCCACCGTGCCCAGCCTAATAGTTTTACTTCTTTAAAATACACATTAATACTTTCTTTCTTTCTTTTCTTTCCCCGTAGACAGAGTCTCACTCTGTTGCCCTGGATAGAGTGCCATGGCGTGGTAGCTCACAGCAACCTCAACTCTTGGGCTCAAGGGATCCTATTGCCTCAGCCTCCCAAGTAGTTTGGACTACAGAAGTGTGCCACTACTCTAGGCTAATTTTTTCTATTTTTAGTAGAGATGGGTCTCTCTCTTGCTCGGGCTGGTCTCAAACTCCTGAGTGCAAGCTCTCCACCTGCCTCAGCCTCCCAGAGTGCTAGGACTATAGCCATGAGCTATTGTGCCCAGCCCATATTAATATTTTCTAACCATAAAAATTGGCATTCACAAAGTAGTCAGCAAAGTTGGTGTATAGATATTTTGTTTATTAAAAGGAATAATTCTTTGTAAGCCCAGGAATTCAGATCCTTATCTTTGGAGAAATTTACAACCAGTTCCCTTCCCCCACCTCTAATCTTCCAAATCTCTGAGGTATAAAGAAGCTTTTTATAAGTTTTGCTTTGTCATTCTGTTTAATGCTGGCAGTTTAGGAGTATAGCAAATGAAAAACCTATATACACATGTTCAAAATTAATGTTTTCTAGTATCCACTGTTGTAATTTTGGATTTAAGTGGCTGGAGAAGACAATATGGTAGAGATGAGCAGTGATGCTGTTTAAAATCTTTTCCACTCCTGTGGTCAAGCCAAAATGGGGCTTTCATGAAAATTATGCCCCACCTCCAGCCAGGAGAGACTTAAGGTAGTTATCCTATGTGACAGTCTTAGAAATTTTTGATCTGAAAATTAAAAAATAATACTTCTACAAATTTTCTGTTTAAGGAAGAATTACTTTTTACAATTATAAATTTTGTATTTTCCTAGAACTCATTTGTGGGCCTGACTAACCTTGGAGCCACTTGTTATGTCAACACATTTCTTCAAGTGTGGTTTCTCAACCTGGAGCTTCGGCAGGCACTGTACTTATGTCCAAGTACCTGTAATGAGTACGTGATGGGAGATGGTATCCACGAAGAGAAAGGTTGGTGGAGATGGTGGGGAAGAGCTCACTGCTCAGTTTGTCTCCAGCTAGATCACTTCAGAACCAGCACAGAGGAGGAAACATGAGTGCTCATTACCTGCCAGACATGCTGCTGTCTATAGTTGTCCTTTCTCCCCTGTGTATTTGTCATTTATGCACCAAAATGGCTACATTCAAATGAAGGAAGTACATTTGCTTATTCTTAGTATAGCTGGCAGCTATAATTTCTTTCTTTTCTATTTTTGAGATGGGGTCTTTTTTTTTTTTAGACAGAGTTTTACTATGTTGCCCCCACTCGAGTGCCAGTGGAATGTGGTGGCATAACTCACAGCAACCTCAGACTCTTGGGCTCAAGAGAACTCTTTTTTTTTTTTTTGAGACAGAGCCTCAAGCTGTCCCCCTGGGTAGAGTGCCATGGCATTACAGCTCACAGCAACCTCCAACTCCTGGGCTCAAGTGAGTCTCCTGCCTCTGCCTCCCAAGTAGCTGGGACCACAGGCGCCCGCCACAACGCCCGGCTATTTTTTGGTTGTAGCCGTCATTGTTGTTTGGCGGGTCCGGGCTGGGGATTCGAACCTGCCACCTTAGGTGTACGTGGCTGGCGCCTTAGCCGGTTGAGCTATAGGCGCCGAGCCAAGAGAACTCTTGAGTTCTTTTGCCTCAGCCTCTGGAGTAGCTAAGACTACAGGCTCCTGCCACAACGTCTGGCTATTTTTAGAGGTAGGGTCTCAGTGTAGCTCAGCTGGTCTTGAACTTGGGAGCTTAGGCAGTCCACCTGTCTTGGCCTCCCAGAGTGCAGGGGTTAGAGGCGTGAGCCACCATGCACGGCCCCAGATGGGGTCTTGATGTGTTACTCAGGCTACAGTGGAGTGGTTATCTGGAAGTCTAATCATTGTGCACTGCAGCCTTGAACTCCTGGACTCAAGCAGCCTTCCTGCCTCAGCTTTCTGAGTAGCTGGAATTAGAGGCACGCACCACTGTCACCAGTTTACAGTTTCTCTGTGATTGTAGTTCATTAATTTCTAGTGATTAATCAAAATCAGTCAATAAGACAGAAAATGGTATTCTTTTGTTTAATTTGAGTGACTTAATAAATATTTCAATGTAATCATTCTTTTGGCTTTGTTCCTAAATAGGCTGACTCACATGATATTCTCTAAAATTAAGGTTAAATTTATTAAATATGAGAAAATCAGCCACTAATATGCCACGACACTCGTAAATTTATACTGAATCAGTTTCAAACTGTTTCTACTGGAATTAACATACTTTGTTTTATGCACATATGTGAATTGTTATTGATATATGATATACTTCATATTTAGAGATTTCCTCTTTGAAATGGAACTGTTATGGATTGATCCACGTTTTTCTTCTCAAAGTTGAGTGGGAAGAATGGGTGTTTAAGATTATACTATAGGCTCAGGAGCTTCAAGTCGGGAACTTTGGGTTCCTATCCCCATCTGTAAATTCTGTGCTCTGCTTTTTTAGACTACATATGTTCTGATTTGGGCACATGGCCCCATGTGTTGGCTCTCAGAGAGTAAAGATAGGATTCTTATGCCTCACATCTTCTTGCAGCCCTTTAGACAATAGTGATACTTGAGTCTCTAGCACAGTTAGTTGCTTCAAAACATAGTGCTTAAAAATTCCTTAGAAGGTGGTTTACGTAAAGCTTCACTCCTGTATTTCCGAATACCTAAATCTAGATTAATAGTATATTATGTATTTAATAGTGTATGCAAAAGTTAACAGTGTAAAATGGATCATTTTTAACTTTTAGCATTGTTTTTCTGACAATTTCCTTAATAAGAATATAATAAACAAGTGAAAAGTAAATTTCTATTTCATAAAATGATGTACCATTAATTTTGTTAAGTATTATGGTTTTAATTTGTATCCTCAAGCAATTAAAAAATGTTTTTAACCTATAAATTGTTATATTTTACTAAAGCCTTTTTTTTTTTTTTTTTTTACCATATTCTCCAACAAGAGTACACACTTTCTGTGCTAATATGTTTAATAGGCCCAGTTTAGCGTAGTGGAAAGAGTTTATGTTAGACTAATGGGAGTCTGAGTTGTATTCATAGCTCAGCCATGCCCCTATTTTCAAGATAGGAAAGCCAGCAGAGTTTGAGTTATTTAAGACATTACTGTAGAATTTTCCAACCTGTAAGATGAGAGAGTTATAGTAAATATAAACCTACTTGAACAGCTTTTAATGTAGACAGCCTGGCTGCCTCATTACTTTCAAAAGATGTGCCTGCTAATTTTGTTGGTTTTTTTTTTTTAAGTTTTTAAATGATAATAAAGCATTAATATAACTTAGATATAAGGATGTTTAATTATGTTCTTTTGTGCAGAAGCACTGTTTTTTAAAAAGGAAGAAAAGTAGCAACTTTCAAAAAGCAAACTTTTATTTTTCTTTTAATAGATTATGAGCCTAAAACAATTTGTGAGCATCTCCAGTACTTGTTTGCACTATTGCAGAACAGTAATAGACGATACATTGATCCATCAGGCTTTGTTAAAGCCTTGGGCTTGGACACTGGGCAACAGCAGGTAAGAACTTTTTTTGTTGTTAAATATTCACAGGTAGCCAAGTATTCCTTAGAATATTTGTAAAGAGGCTCAGCGCCTGTGGCTCAAGTGGCTAGGGTGCCAGCCACATACACCTAGGGCGGTGGGTTCGAATCCAGCCCGGGCCTGCCAAATAACAATAATGGCTGCAACCAAAAAAAAGTAGCTGGGCATTGTGGTGGGTGCCTATGGTCCCAGCTACTTGGGAGGCTGAGGCAGGAGACTTGCTTGAGCCCAGGAGTTGGAGGTTGCTGTGAGCTATGATGCTACGACACTCTACCCAGGGGGACAGCTTTAGGCTCTGTCTCAAAAAAAAGAAAAAAAGAATATTTGTAAAGAGAGATAAAGTAGAATGCTTTTTAAAAATTAAGCTTTAAAATATTTTGAATTAGAGCCTTTGTTTACTGCCCAGTAGATTATACATTATACTTGATTCCATTTCTGAAAATTCATATGTCAGCACAGACTGATTTAGCATAGCTGTAGTCATTGTTGGAAATCGGTAAGTTTGGAAGTATAGATAGTTTCTGGAATTTTTTTTTTTTTGGAGACAGCAGACTCAAGCTATCCCTCTGGGGGTAGAGTGCTGTGGCATCACAGCTCACAGCAACCTCCAACTCCTGGGCTCAAAGGAGTCTCCTGCCTCAGCCTCCCGAGTAGCTGGGACCACAGGTGTCCGCCACAAAGCCCGGCTGTATTTTTTGGTTGCACCCATCATCATTGTTTGGTGGGCCCGGGCTGGATTCAAACCTGCCACCTTGGGTGTACGTGGCTGGCGCCTTAACCACTTGAGCCATAGGCGCCGAGCCAGTTTCTGGAATATTTAACTTATTACTACTTGTATTAGAATTGGAAAAGCAAGATATAATTTTTCTTTTTAATCTAAACTTTCAGGATGCTCAAGAGTTTTCAAAGCTTTTTATGTCTCTATTGGAAGATACTTTGTCTAAACAAAAGAATCCAGATGTGCGGAATATTGTCCAACAGCAGTTCTGTGGGGAATATGCTTATGTAACTGTGTAAGTCTCTTTCAACATTTTCATGGCACATTTTTTCCTAAGACAATTGCTCATATGTTATCTAATCTTCAGTTCAGTTCCAAGTTATAGCTTTAGTGGGTTATCAGGGGACCTGAAATATTTATAGTAATAGATTTTCATGGGAACGTGTAAACAACTGACTTGATAATTGCAGTTGAACCCATCCAGGTGTTAGGAACTATGTGTGGTTGAGCTCTTACGATCTGCTTGTGCTTTATGTCTGTGTGGTTGAGCTGAAAAAGTAAGATTGGAGCTGGCTAGGATATGCTATGAATAAATGTAAAATATCTTTTAAAAATTTCCCAGTTACAAAATACATGACCTCTCTACTTTTAAAATTTAATTTTTAATATATGTAGCACAGATAATTTCTATAAAAGAATTAGGGTTACAAATGCTTCTTTCCATCTTTCTAGGATGTAATACAATAGACCTTTATTGCTTTTCCCACTCTGATCTTAATTTTATCACTCTATTTTATTATAGTTGCAATCAGTGTGGCAGAGAGTCTAAGCTTTTATCAAAGTTTTATGAACTGGAGTTAAATATCCAAGGCCACAAACAGTTAACAGATTGTATCTCGGAATTTTTGAAGGTATTCAAATTTTGGTGTATTTATTATTTCTGCTCGTTAACAGTTAAATGCTATTCTGAGTGGTATTTTGATTTAATGGATAGAGCCTTTTCTGTATAAGAAGCATCTGGGTTTGTGTAATAGTCTAGAAGAAACTTTATAAAAGTACTATAGCGGGCTGTATCTTAATTTCTAGTTATTTCTTGTATTTCTAGTAATACAAGTTACTGTGTATGTGTGAAAATATATTATTGCATTATGGTGATAGAGTATTGAAGGAAATCTGATCTCTGTTAATGTAAAGGTAATTTACCTTTTCATGTAATGAGAACTAGAATGTGTTCAGTGCAGATTTTTTTTTGCATCCGTATGATCATTCTTCAACCTCTCCACTCCATGTTTCTACCATCTGCATAATGAGATATATGTGGAGGTATGGAAATGGTTCCTTTTTGTTCTTAGTGGAAAACTGCTAAGAGGAAGTGTTTTGTGATCAAGCTTGAACCAAATACATAGCATAATAGATGAGCTTATTATACAGCTTCCTGTCTTAAAATACTTTTGTGCTTTTCCTACTCCCCCAGCACCATTAGCATGGATGAAGTCATTTATTGAATTCATTCAGCTAAATATTTATTGAGTGCCTACTGGGTGTGAGGAAGTATCTCAGCTGTTGGGGGTAACAACAGTGAATGAAGCACACAAAATTTGCCTTTATAGAGCTCATAATGTAGTGGCGTGGGTGCCAGGGAGGGACAGTAAAGTAAAATGTAAGTACAATCTACAGTGTCAACCATAGTAAGTGCTACGGAGAAAAGTAAAGCAGAGGGTGTGCTGGGCAATGTGGTAGGAAGGAGGGTAAGGCTGATTGCAATTTGAAATAAAATAGTTGGAAGTGAAGCAGTGAACCATGCAAGATGAGGGAGAGGAATGTTCTGGGCAGGTGGAATAGTAAGTGCCGAGGCCGAGATAAGACTGTGCCTAGTGGTTTGAGGAACACAGCAAGGAGGTCATTGTGGCTGAAGTAAACAAGCAAAGGGAAAAGGATAGAAGATGAAGTTGCAGAGGTAGCCAAGGGCCTAGTAGATCTTTGGCTCTTACCCTGAGTTTGAGAGCATCAGAGTTGAGAGCATAGGAGTGATACAGTGTGTTTTAACAGGGTCTTGAGATTATGTTGAGGAATGAGAGTAGATGAGAGTGCGTGATTGCTTGGACCAAGGGTTAGCTGAAGTGGTGATAAGTAATGTTTGGCTTTTAGATATATTTTCAATGTGGAGCTGATAAAATTTGCAGAATGGACATTGGAAGAGAGTCCCGGATGACTAAGATTTTTGGCCTAATCACCAGAAAGGATAGAGTTGCTGTTACAAAGATGGTGGAGGATTGTGAGAAGGAGCAAGGTTAGGACAGGAATTATGAGGTTGGCTTTGGGCTTGTTACATTTGAGAGCTATACTTCAACAGAAGTAAGGCTGGATAAAATCATGGAGAGAATGGGAAAGAGACAAGGACTGAGCCCGAGACATTCTAATATTAAGGGACCAGGGAGATAAGAAGGATGCTCTGGAAGAATGGCCACTGAGTTAGGGGGAAAATAGATGAGCGTAATATCATGGAGGCCAAGTCAAGAAATATTGGTATCAGAGTCGTATTATTTACAATAATCTGTTAACAAAAAACAGTTATTAGGGATACAAAGGCAAATTTAAAAAGAAATTACTATCAGCTAGAACATTTGACTTTTTTGTATTTTTCTTTTTTGGCTTTATCTCATGAATGTGGTTCAGTAATTTTAGCCACATACATATATAATTTTGTATTCTGGTGTCCATATATACTTTCTACCTATTTTCCCCACTGTTTTAAAATTAATTTTGCATCAAAGTACATGACATTTCTTTTTAAAACTCACTTCTTTAGAATTCCCAGACATGAAATTATGAGGACAAAGATCCTGAAACAAGTATTTTAAAAGTCATTCATTTTAGAAATAGGCATATGAATTTTAAACATCATTGTATACAAATTGATGTCACTGCTAACAGTGCTTACTAATTTTTTTTAATAATGCAAAAAAATAACATTCACATTGTCAGGTAAAAGTATGTCTGTCATAGAATGCTTTGACTGTGAAGTTCAGTATGGAGTCATCTGTTACCTTTTTTCCCCAAAGCTTCAAACAGTGCTTATTAATCTTACGTGTCCATTATTTATAGTAGATTGTTTTTTTTTTTTTTTTTTTTTTTGAGACAGAGCCTCAAGCTATCCCCCTGGGTAGAGTGCCAGGGCATCACGCTCACAGCAACCTCCAACTCCTGGGCTCAAGCGAGTCTCCTGCCTCAGCCTCCCAAGTAGCTGGGACTACAGGCGCCCGCCACAACGCCTGGCCATTTTTTGGTTGCAGCCATCATTGTTGTTTGGCGGGCCCGGGCTGGGGATTCGAACCCGTCACCTTAGGTGCATATGGCTGGCGCCTTAGCCGCTTGAGCCACAGGCGCCGAGCCTATAGTAGATTGTTTTGAAGCAGCTCAAATGGGACCTGTTAACTAAAATGAATTATCGGGCGGTGCCTACAGCTCAAAGGAGTAGGGCACTGGCCCCATATACCAGAGGTGGCGGGTTCAAACCCAGCCCCAGTCAAAAACTGCCCCCCAAAAAGAATTATCAGAGGTTTTATCACTTACTATCACTTACTTTAATTTTTTTCCACCTTCTTTTTTTAATTAATATGTCTTTTCCTGATCAGGAAGAAAAATTAGAAGGAGATAATCGATACTTTTGTGAAAATTGTCAAAGCAAACAGAATGCAACAAGGAAGATCCGACTCCTTAGCCTTCCTTGCACTCTGAACTTACAGCTAATGCGTTTTGTCTTTGACAGGTAAAGGTGTACAAGTAGTGGGGTGCGTTGTTCATTGTGGGCTAATATGTACAGATTTTACTGTAAAACAGATAAAAGTAGAATGATAATAATTTGAAACTCTAGATTTGAGCATAAATGTTAGTCCCTGTCATTTTGAAATGACAATATTTCATGATTTTATCATAAAATTCTTAAAGAAGCCAGCCATATGTAATTGAGGCATATGTAATTGAGAATTTAAAAAGTAGGTAGTACTTTTTTTATTCTAAAAAATTATAGAATTTCTATAATTCTGTTATAGAACTATTAAGATGTGGTTTTTCTAACTACAAGAAACTGAATTATGTTGACATTTTTTATTGTACATTTTAAGCAGAATAAACATTTTACTTATCATGGTACCCTCCCCCTTCCCTGCAAGTACAACTTTCGTTTTATAGTTAAAATCTAGGCAGTATTCAGTACTGCACATCCACATTTCCTCTAGAAAGCCAGAACATGTTATATTTTTCTTTTGTGATTAATTTAAAACTTTTGGAAGTAAGTTTTATTTGGAATCAGCAGTTGGAATTCATACCTTTTGGCCTTTTGATCATTACTTGCCCAATTACACAACAGTATTATGTTTGTTTACGTCTAATTGTACAGGTTTTTGAGCAAGATTGCTAAATGAGACTTAGCTATGTTGAGTTTTTTAAAATAGCTGATAGAGCTGATAAATTGTTGTAACTGTTTTATATATGAATATAATCAGCTTTCCTCTTGGTTAGGCAAACGGGACATAAGAAAAAGCTGAATACCTACATTGGCTTCTCAGAAATTTTGGATATGGAGCCTTATGTGGAACATAAAGGTAATATTTTTTTACTGAGCAGTGAAAATTATAATGCTCAGAGACTGTAACTTGTGATTTACTGGTGATGAATATGGAATAATAGTTTACAGGGAGTTTTTATTTACTAATCTCTGTCTGGTAACAAAAGCTTTTTTGGGTGAAACAAGATGTTAAATCCATTTTCTGTAAGAACATATAACAAAGACGGTTTATCAGTCAATAGCTATGTAATTAAGGGTATAAAAACAATTTATAAAAAATGAAAAAGGTATTTTAATGTTTCTGAACCCATGCATGTTATTATCTTAGTTTCAGAGTTGTTACCTGTCATTCCTCAGAACTAAGTATCTCTAAGCTGCCTCAATTCACTTTACTTTTTTTCTCTCCTTGCTAAGGAACTCCTTTCACTTTTTTTTTTTTTTTTTTTTGAGACAGTCTCAAGCTGTCACCCTGGGTAGAGTGCCATGGTGTCATAGCTCATAGCAACCTCAAACTCTCGGGATTAAGCAATTCTCTTGCCTCACCCTCCCAAGTAGCTGAGACTACAGGTGCCCGCCACAACGTCCAGCTATTTTTTTGTTGCAGTTTGAATGGGTCCGGGTTTGAACCTGCCACCCTCGGTATATGGGCCCAGCATCCTACTCACTGAGGCACAGGTGCTGCCCCACCTTCTGAAAAAGGTTTTATCAGAAACATTAAGTGGCATAATTTCAACATTTCTGCTGCAATTCTTTGTAATCACTGATGCTATCTCATAGTTTTAAGAAGAAACTACGGCTTTTTTCTTTTAATATCCTATCTTTCCTTTTTTTTTTTTGTTTGAGACAGAGTCTTACTTTGTCACACTCAGTAGAGTGCTGTGGCATCACAGCTCACCGCAACCTCAAACTCTTGGGCTTAAGCAATTCTCTTGGCTCAACCTCCCAAGTCGCTGGGACTATAGGCGTCCACCACAATGCCCGGCTATATTTTAGAGGAAGGGGTCTCACTCTGGCTCAGGCTGGTCTTGAACTCATAAACTCAGGCAATCCACCAGCCTTGGCCTCCCAAGTGCTGAGATTACAAGCGTGAGCCACCATGCCCAGCATCTTTATTTTTCCTAAAATAAAATAATAAAATAAATAGAGAAGACAAACATCTTACCCTTATGTTTCTCTTGCCTTGACTGGAAGGACTATCATGCTTCCCTTTTAAGGTTGATCTTACTGTTTATGAAATTTTGAATATAGATAGTATTTCATAAACTCTTATCTCTTTCCAAAGAAAGAAACATATTGTAGAGGCAGCTGACAACTGAAATGACTCAGTCTTTAAAACAAATGATTGAAAGGGCCCAGAAGGAGTGTATTAAATAAATATTTAAGCTTTAAATGTATGATGCTTCATTAGTACTTTGCTTTAAAATCTGCATCTCCATGGAAGAAAGAAACTGCTATAAACTTTGCTTCTGGATTTCATCATTGTTAGGTTTCATTGAATGAATAAAGTTAGCTCACTTTATATAGTAAGCTAAGTGAACTTAGTTCACATTATACAATAGTTTGCTTTCTGCATCTTTTACTTAGTCAATTGTTTGAAATGAAGGAAGTCTGATGGGTACGAGTGGCTTCTCAAAGGCCACCAGAAACTCAGGAGATAAGAAATTTAGTACTTTACTATTTGAGTTTGAATTGCTATTATTGTTATTAATTGTATTATATGTAGTATACATGTATTTGTCCAGGATTTATGCTGTAAAGAAAATAAGGAAAAAAAAGAAAAGAAGGAAGATCTTTATCAAATAGACTTGATAGATTAAAAACCTATAGAAATTTACTTTTAGTATGTTGGATTACTAAATACGGTAAAACCTTAATTTTTAAGTAGAGAAATAAATATTGTCTTCTTACTAGAATTGTTGGCTAGGACCAATAAAATTAATCTAGCAGTTTGTGGTTATACATTCATCTTTCACAGGCTGTTGTAATGTTTGCAATAAAAACGTGCTACCTTATATACATAGAAGACTAAAAACAAATTAACTTTTGTTATGATTGCATAGGGTTTGCTCTAGATAATTTTGGAAATTCAAAAGGTATAAAAGTGAGAAGTAAAAACCACATGTAATTCTATCACCAAGATAACAAACCAGTATTTATATTTTTCTATATTATTGTCTCTGTGTGTCTGCCTACACACATCCACTCAAAGCCGAGAAAACAGATATAAGAATTCACCTGTTCCTGAGCCTGGAGCTCTGTAGAGATTTGTATTTGAATGAGGGATTCTCATTCCTTGAACATTAGCACCTGACTCTCTAACTCAATTCCTGCCGTATTTCTTGGAGATTTTTAAATTGCCATAATTGTAAGTTGATGGATGAACTGATGAGTACAAATTCAGGTTATTTACAAGAATAGTAATGTAATATGAAAATTTTTGTGGTTTCTATTGGTAATAAAGTTATGGTTATTGCTAACACTTTCTTGGCTTATTGTCTTCATTAATACTTTACGGAATACTACTAAGAAGCCCTGGTAGGAGGTGATTCTTCCAGTGACTTCATAGTGACTTCTCTTCTTCAGGGATCTTTTTTTTTTTTTTTTTTTTTTTTT